GGCAGGGACGGGGGACAAGGGGCACTGGGATGGACTGGGAGGAAACTGGGATGGACTGGGATGGACTGGGAGGGCTGGGACAGGGTCGCTGGGGTGTAGGGAGCTGTACTGGGCCATACTGGGATATACTGGGGCCATACTGGGATATACTGGGGGATACTGGTGTCCCTGTGCCAAGGACTGGGCCCCTCCCAGTTTACCCCAGTTCCCCTCAGTCCCTCCCAGTCTGTCCCAGTCTGTCCCAGTTTATCCCAGTTTATCCCAGTCCCTCCCAGTTTATCCCAGTCTGTCCCAGTCCCTCCCAGTCTGTCCCAGTTTGTCCCAGTTTGTCCCAGTCTGTCCCAGTCTGTCCCAGTTTGTCCAAGTCCCTCCCAGCTTGTCCCAGTTTGTCCCAGTCTGTCCCAGTTTATCCCAGTTTGTCCCAGTTTGTCCCAGTCCGTCCCAGTCCGTCCCAGTCCGTCCCAGTTTATCCCAGTCCCTCCCAGTCCCTCCCAGTCTGTCCCAGTCCATCCCAGTTTATCCCAGTTTGTCCCAGTCTGTCCCAGTCCGTCCCAGTCCGTCCCAGTTTATCCCAGTTTGTCCCAGTTTATCCCAGTCCCTCCCAGTCTGTCCCAGTCCCTCCCAGTCTGTCCCAGTTTGTCCCAGTTTATCCCAGTCCCTCCCAGTCTGTCCCAGTCTGTCCCAGTCTGTCCCAGTTTGTCCCAGTCTGTCCCAGTCCCTCCCAGTTTGTCCCAGTTTATCCCAGTTTATCCCAGTTTGTCCCAGTTTGTCCCAGTCCCTCCCCCCCGGTTATTTCGGGCCCCCCGCACCTGTCTCGGCCCCGCCCCTCCCCCACCCGGCCCCGCGCCAGCGCCCCTCCCCCACCGGGACTGGGACGGACTGGGACAGACTGGGATAAACTGGGACAGACTGGGACAGACTGGGATAAACGTGGGGGGACTGGGACAAACTGGGACGGACTGGGACAAACTGGGACAAACTGGGACAAACTGGGACAGACTGGGACAGACTGGGATAAACGGGGGGGGACTGGGACAAACTGGG